TCAGGCTGTCCTCTAGGAAGGCTGACCCAGGGCCTGAATTTGCCTGCTTCCTGCAGGACACAAGGTAGCTGTGGGCACCTTTGGGCAGCCCCAAGAAAGGACAGGAAAGTAGTTGAGGACACAGGACCCTGTGAAGAGTCAAAGGAAATTTCTACCCAAAGATTTTACATTGTCTGTGCTTGGGGAAGATAAAGGAAGACAGGAACAAAGTCTTTTAACAGTGGAGTTCCAGCTGACTGTCCTCTGCTCTCACCACATGGCAAATTCAGAAACAGAAAACAAATCTTTCATGCTGTGCCGCTGGAATGCAGTATGAGGAGCAAGGAATTGATAATGCTGTGAAGAGGAGGGGGAGATACATTCTGGAAATGTGAGGAGAGGTTAGGAATATTAAGGTTGTGCCAACAACCCTAGCAGGGGCTGGGTGGGGAAAGCAAGGTGACTCCTGGGGAGAAGGAGCACAAATCCTCAGATCAGCATCCTCCACACAGGAGCCCTACACCTGAAGCAGGATCCATGAGGCCCTCTGCTTTCACTACACACTGAGGGCCTCGGGCTGGGGTCCAGCTGGGCAGAGAGGGTTCTGCCAAAGTGGCTGCAGACCAGGCAGCATACTGAGAACCCACCTGCACCAGCCCACACCATGTCCTGAAGGCATCAAGGGCTGAGCTGTAGCAGCATCTGACTCAGGTCTGGGCTGGCTGACTCTGGGGCTGACAGTGGGAGGCCAGAGTCCAGCCACAGCTGGTTCCCACCAGTTCTAACCATCCCACTTCCCTGAGCAGTCCAGGCCCCACACACTCACCATTTCCTGCCTTCTGGGGAGTCCTGACATCCTCCCTGGAATCTCATAGCACCTGCAGGTCACAGGGAGATAAATCTAAGCCAGAGTCACTTGGGCCTCACACAGCAGAGAAGATACAGTCCTGGAGATGAATTCTGAGCTGCACAGGGTGAGAGATGAAGGCCTCTGACTGTGGAAGGCCACCTCCTCCCACCAGCTGCCTCTGACTGCCCAGGGTGCCACAAGACCCCTGCATACTCCAGCCCACATACATACCCTTTGGGACCCTAAGTGACAGGAGATGTATTAGACTCCTGGATAAATGAGGCCAGAAAGACACTGTCTTGGCAAAAGCACTTTTCAGGCAGGGTGTCCTTCCTGCAAGGGGACCTGCCCCACCAGGAGAACATTTCTACTTAGGCAGAACTGTCTTCCTGCCTTTCTGGGTACAGAGTCACAAGCCTATATGAGGAATTACAGCCTTGGTGTCCAATGCAGCCAACCCTGACCTCAGAGATGGTAAGTGCCAGGTCCGGCCTTACTGAAAAGGAGGGGACAGGCATCCATCACTTTAGAAGAGGCTGGTGCTACATGACCAAGGCCTCCAAATATTTTACCTCTCAGTCAACTCATTTTCAGTCAAAAAAATAAAAATATAATCAGGAAATACAATTATTAAATGCATGAAAAACTAATTATATGGTAATAATAGAAAGAATTCAATAAAAGGAAAAGCAAACACTTTAAGGCACCTGCTTCTCCCACAGTTCAGAATGAAAACCAACTTGTAGAAGGGTAAACACATTCCCAAGTTGGGAGCCACAGTCTGACTGCTGAAATGTGGCCCCAGGAGGGCTCATTCCCTGCTGGCCAGGAGGGGACATGTAAGCATTTACCTCTGGAACCTCCTATACCCCTTGTCCTTTAGGTTTTCTTAATAAGATAAATTCAAAAGAAAGAGAATGATATAGTCACATCTATTAAAAGGGGGTCTCTCCATCAAACTGCAAGAGGAGGCAAAAAGGCTGCCCTACCTCAGGGCAGATGTCTGCGGTCTTTACAAAGAGAAATAAATTCATGTACAGAAAATATTAAAAGAAAAAAGAAACAACCTCACAAATGAACTAAACATGAGAAAATGAGTGAAAACCATTTACAAGAACATGGAAATACACAGAAAAATGTTCATGCAAATGGTATTCAGTGAAAAACTATATCTAGTCACACAAAGTAAACACAGACAGACAGGTAAGAGGGATAAACACACATGGATGAATGGCCAGAGAGCTGTTCCACACACTGCACTGCAATTTATCCATAACCACGATTTTCCAAAGTGCACGTACTTATAAAGTGGGCCAACTTGGGGACCAAATTTAAAAATAGAATGAAATTGCAAAGAACATAAAAGTTACACTGGAAACAGGTGAGGTTCTGGAAGAAGGAACTTGGGAGGGACCTAGGAGACCCACGGCCTCAGACAGCAAAAGGAGTCTAGCCAACTGAGGCAGAGAACCCACACAATGCACGTTACAGCACCACAGTGGTAGAGCACTAATAGTTAACATTCAGTTACTGAAAACTCAAATAAGACAAAAACAAATAAAATTCTGCTTCCTCACAGCTGGTTAAAATACAAGGAATGACAGAAGGAACTGGCACTGTACCACCTCTCTGCACAGGTAGGGGGAGCAGGGAGAGAGAGAGAGGGAGCCTGCCCAGGGCCACCTTGTCCCTATTTAGACAGGGATATATGGGTTTACAGATTCTTACTAAACTAAGCATTAAAAAATTATTTCAAGACTTCTCTGTTCCTCTTTACATCAAATTACTCTATGCAAATAGTTGTTAACCGATGCCATAAAAATCTTTGATTCAATGAAGGAATGAAATTCTTTGCTGGGTACAGTGGAGCATTCCTGTTATCCATTTAAATTTAATATTTCAACAGGAAAATCTAGGTACTCCTTTTCAGACAATAAACATGTTATTTAATTGCTATATCCCAGATAATATTTGGTAACCATTCATCATATGTGACTTCTATTAGGAATTCCAAGTTCTGTCAATGTTATCAGTGTTAAACATTCACCTGCAGTTCACAGGGTACAGAACAGACCCATCCACTTCCAAAGCCCTGCAAACTACAGAGCTGATGTTTTGGTGAATTTTTGTAATGAACCAATTCATCTATCACAATGAATTGGGTTAATATACTCACTTTTTGCAACCATATTGGAAGAAATCTTCCCTGTTTCTTTTCCTAGGTAGCATTCCCAAAGCCAAGCCCTGGAATTCTATTTCAAACCACTCTCCCACCCCCACTTTCCCATAAAGAACACATCTGAAAGGAGAAAAGGGTACTGTGCAGGCCTGTAATCCCAGTGACTCCGGAGGATGATACAGAAGGAACATAACTTCAAAACCAGCCTCAGCAACTTAACAAGGCCCTCTTCAACTTAGTGAGGTTGAATCTTTGTAATAAAGAAACCGACCTCTCTACCACACTTTCTTCTGGGGCATTCATATCTGCAGCCAAACTGAAACATAAGTTTTCCCTTTTTCTATTCCCAGGTAGCATTCCCAAAGCAAAGTCCTGGAATTCTATTTTAAATTATCAACATCCACTCCTCTCCAAAAAAGAAGGCATCTGAGAAAGATGGTAAATTCACTCTTGGGAACAAAAACATTCATAAGTATTTTTAACTAAGGGAATATAAGGCCAAGTGTTTCTTTCTTTTCTGTTTCTAGCCTTCTTTTTTTCCCCCTGAATTGTATCTCTATCTTACCCTTTAGGGATACTTTCTAATCAGCTCTACTAATAAACTACATTTTACAGTTCATGAAAAACTGATACTAAAATAAGTGAGCCAGTCTTTCCAAGGCAACAAACCTGGGGAACTGTAGCACCACTGGACACTGACCTGTCAGACTCCAGCTTCAGGTAAGGCTTCTGTCACCAGGCACATCCTCCCACCCCCTCCTGCTGCTGAAAAGCTTTGTAGGGCTTTGCTCCACCTTGCTGGGGTCAGTTTCCCCTGCTCTTTAGGATAATTGTTCTTCCTTCAAAGCTATGAGCACATCCAGAGGGCAGGAACCATGTGTGTCATGTTCCCTCAACACCAGCATCTCACTGCCTGACCTGGGTATCTCCGACTGCTCCCCTGGGAGGCTGCTCCCCACAAATCAGGCTGTCCTCTAGGAGGAGCTGATGCAGAGCTTAAAATTGCCTGCACCCTGCAGGGCACAGGGAAGCTTAGGGCAACTTGCAGCAGCCCCAGGAAAAGACAGAACAATGACTGAGGACACAGGACCCTGTTCAATATCCAAAGAACTCCTCTGCCCAAAGGCACCGCACAGGTGTCTGGGTCTGGGCAAGATGAAGAGAGGAATAAGTACTTTTTAAACTCAACTTCCAGGTCATTCCTCTCTGCATTCCACTCCTGGGAAATGTTTGTGCATGTTAAAAAATAAATAAAATAAAATGTTTTTTTTTGTTGTTGTTGTTGTTGTTTTTTAATATCATTCATTAATAAGTGAAACTACCACAATTAAAACACTGTCTATTTGAATGTAGACTGGAACAAATGGTTGGCAAAGTGTGAACTGGAGGGTGCAGCTGGCATCTGGGAATTCGGGAGGGAACTAGAATTTCAGGTGTCTGCTGCCAGCCTTAGGAGGAGCCAGGTTCCAGAATGGAAAATGGATTTGATACCGTTTCCTGCACATTTAGCAGTATGTGTCCGTAGGACTCATAATCCTGGGGAGAAAAGAGGGACAGACGGGGACCCCTAAGGCCAAATGTCACAGTCAGAACACACCTTAGTCCAGAACCCTGATCCTCCCCTGCTCACCACGCACTCTGGGAGCATCAGGCCACATAAACTGCCCAGAGTTGAACCAGGGAGGTCGCCAATAGGGAGCAGAAAAGGGGGCAGGGACCTGCTGCCCAGCTCACCCATGGGACAGGAGCCCAGGGCGACCCGCCAGAGAGGACTCAGCCATGCTCTGCAGCTGACCTGGGGAACCTGCCTCCCAACGCACCCAGCGGGAGGGACCAAGGGCCAAAGTCAAGGGCCACCCGCCAACAGAGACTCGGTAATACACTGAGTAGCTGACCTCGGAGACCCGGCATCTACCACCCCCGCCGCGGGACAGAGGGATAGGGCCCAGGGCCACCCGCCGGTGGGGACTCGCCCCAAGCTCCGCAGCTCACATGCACTCGGGTCCCCAAGGCAGATGGTGACCGGGTCCCGCCAGTCCTGGCCACACGCTCAGCATGACTCGCTGACCTCCTGAGGATCTCCCGGTACCCGAGCTGGTGAGGACTCCGGCTATGCAGGGTCACCTGGGGATCCCGTAAGAAGACTCAGGAGCAGTGGAGGACGAGTTCAGCAAGGGAGAAAAAAAAAAGATGCGAGATTGTGAGAGCCCGCCCTTCCCCTCCGCCTACGCACCTGATTGGACAGTTCCTCCCCAGCGTCCCTGATTGTCCGCCTCCAGGCACAGACCCAGTCTTGAGTGACAGCTACCCTAGCCAATCAGTGGCTGAAACAGGCCAGAGTGACAGATCCAGGCTTTTAGGCTGGGCTTTCTTGGGACCTGACCTCGGCGGGAAACGTTTGTATTTAGCCTGGTGTAGAAGGCAACATCTAAAGAGGAGGACTTAGGAAGGTCAGCGATATCTAGAAACCGTGCTGTCCACGATTGGGAGCAACTTGAGAATTTTATTAAGGTTTCAAATTACATGACCTTCCTCACCTGTGTTCCTTTCAGTAGATGGCCCGAGCTATGGAAAGCAAGGCCCTGTTTAATTGAAAAGAAATTTGTGTCATGTATTTTTAAATTTTTCGCAAGCCGCACAAAAACGTTAAAGAAACAGGTAAAGGGGCTGGGGATGTGGCTCAACTGGTAGCATGCTTGCCTAGCATGCGTGAGGCACTAGGTTCGATTCTCAGCACCACATAAAAATAAAATGGAGATATTGTGTCCACCTAAAACTAAAAAATAAATGTTTAAAAAAACCTACAAATTCAAAAAAATTTTTTTTAAAAAAAGAAATAGGTAAAATAACTCAGGCATAGCTCAGTGGTAGAGTGTTTTTGTAGCAAATGCAAGTCCCTGTGTTCCATCCCCTTCAAAAACACAAGATGATTCAAAAAGTGAGAGAAAGTCACAGATAAAATTGGTTGTGATTTCTTTAGTGCAATATTATGTAAAATAACATTGCTTTTCTATGCAATTGATGCAATGAGGTATTACTGTAAGCACAGAGCCCACAAATGACAGAGGTTGGAGAAGGGAAGCAAATCTCTTTATTCTGCAGGGAAGTCAATCCATCAGGCCTGGGTGGGTTCATTTTCTAGGTAGAGCAAATGGTCCCCGGGTTACAGAAGGAGTTTGGGTTTTGTAGTTTACAATGAGGGTGAATATTAATTCATTAGAGACTGAGGTTGTGCACTTTGGACAGTCAGGGACCTAGTTATGCAAGTTAAAATTTTATCTCAGGAAGGCAGTTGTAAAAAGTTTAAAACTTGTTGTCACTGGGAAAAGCCCACAACTAGGTGTTCCCTGCTTACCTCTGGGACCCATTGTTACCTAGAGCCTCACTATTTGCTTTTCTCCTTCCAGAAGTCATCTGCAGTGGGAAGGGGTAAAAGTCCAGAACCCAGCATTTCAGTATTTGCCTCCTTCCTTCAGGACCCTTTTGGTTGGTGTTAGGGTAGCTGCACAAATATCAAGGCTCTGAGTTTTAGCAAAGCTTTATCGACAGAGAATATCGGCCAGGGGAAGTGTGTTTACAAAAGCAGAGTGCAGGAAGGGAGACTGGGGCCTCTAAGGAGCCTCTAGCCCTGGGCCCAGAGCCTTCCCTAGGTGTTTACACTCCAAAGGAAAAAAGTCAGATCCCAGGGAAAGTCCTTTACAATCCAAAGATAAGAGTGAAAGGTGCTAATTAGGTTCCCTGAAAGCCAGCTGGTGGGGACTGGGGAGGGGAGCCTCCCTTCCCCAACACTAATGTTCACAGTGTCTTTGGGGCATTTTGTATTCAAGCCTGAGTTAGTTACTCACCGTGAGATCACAGGAAGTAGGCCCTGCACCTTTTTCAGGCAAGATAAAAGTAACCTCAAATGTGAAAAGAAGATCCTGACATTTTTAAAAAATTCAAATTCCCTATGGAAGAGGGTTAACTCATTATTATTCAATACCATACAGTGAAATTAAATGTCATCTATGTGCTGCCCCCACTCATCTATCCACTCATTAATTTTAGGTTATTATTTTCTCAATACTTCTCTTCCCAGTCAAAAACCTAAACTGGCTGAAGCTGGAAGAAGTTGCACAGCTTGCAGGACAAGACTGAGTGGGCGGGTGCACAGCAGCACTCCAGGCGAAGCTGCTGGATTGCATCTGCCTCTGAGTGATCAGGCCAGTGAGCTTCCTCAAGTCCCCCATCCCCATCTGCCTGGGCAAAAGGAAGCCTGCCATTGAAGCCACGGCCTCGGGGTATTAAACAGGCCTTCGAAATGGACACTTGCCACAGGGCCACTGTGACAGTGAAGAAAGGGACCAGGGAGGGCACTTTGGGGCTCCCTAGAGCACTCCTATATGTGAATTTTAGCTGACCATGTTCTGTTAACATTTGTGTTTTATCTTGTTATTGGCCTGGGGCTGAGACCTGTGAGGTCCCCGATTGGGGGTCCTCTTCCATAATGCAGGAGTGAGCTGAGTTCCAGGTAAGCATGAGTGTGCCCTCTAGGCTGCCCTCTCCCCTTGCTTCAACTGACTTTGACACACCATTTCCAGAGGTCAGGAAGCTAAGAGCCCCCTAAATTTGCAATAGAGGATGCCTGGGCATGTGGGTGATGTTGGTCACAGTGGCCTAAGTTGGAAACCACTCTTGTCTAAAACCAATGGAAACCACTGACCTTGGGCCTACTGAGCTTCCAACACCTGATGTCTTTGACATTGGAGAGCAAGCCTCTGCATGACCAGACTAAAGCTGCCATTTTTCTAAACATGTGTCCTATGAAGAACTGAGATGTTTGGCTCCTTGTGACCATCAGTGGCTCCTCTTTCCCTGGCCTATAGTCACCTTTTCCCATTCCTTCAACTACCTGCTACTGTATCACACAAGGATCCATAAACCTTGTGCTTGGGAAATGGACATGAGGCTTCCTCCTACAAGTCTTGGGCTGCTTCATAAATAGACCCCAAATTCTGCCAAGTTCATCTTTGCAGTGACTGGCACCTGCACAAGGGGCACAGTGGGCCTGGCTGGGTAGCAGAGGCACTGATTCATGTGGCTTTCATTCTTCTCAGCATCTCTCTGTCTGCTTTGACCTTTAAATGAGTTGGCCATTCAATGTTGTTATGAGAAAATGGTAAGTTTAAATTATTACTGTGGATCTCACCATTTATCTGAAAAGTGGGCAGCACCATTTTAAGTGCAAATCTTTATGCTGATCCAACAAGTCACACAACTCACAGTTCACATCTGTAAATACGTACGCGGAAACTGCACAAAACTAACTTCATTTGTTTTTATTTCACTTCTCGGTATTTACATATGCTGCTGAAGCTCCCATCTGAAGGTTGCTGGCAAGTTGGGCTAAAAGCAGAGGCCACCTTTCCCATTAGCAGCATCATTCTCCCTCCACCCACATCCTCACTTTCAGGAAAGAATTGCTAAGACAGAGAAAGAGGCAAGGAAGCACCGTGGGATTCCTAGGTGCTGCTTCTTTCCCACCTTCTGTTCCAGAGCAAGTTAGGTGGGAGTGAGAGTAGATCTCATGACTCAGCCCACTCCAAGGCCAGATGCTCACCTTCTCCTGTTGGCCTTGAGTCTTGCTGAAATCCCACCCTTGTGGGTTCACCTGAATGCCCTGCTCAGGGGCAAAGTGAATGCTGTATGCAAATTGGGCAGCAAGAAAAGTCAGATGTACATGCTCCTTTGTTTCCAATTCCATCAGAATTCACTTAAAAATAAATAAATTAATTAAAAAAAAAACATGTTCAGGGACTAAAATATTAAGAGTTTTAAGAAAGCTGGGTTGGGGATGCAGCTCAGTAGTAGAGGCTGGCCTAGCACATGTGAGGCCCTGAGTTCAATCATCAGTATTGCAAAGAAAAGAAAAAAAAAAAAAAAAAAGAATTCTAAGATGGCAACAATAGCAATAAATCTAGCACAAGGCCCTACTGAGCAAGGTCAAAGGCCCACAAAGATGGTCTGATTCAAGGTTTTTGGGTGGAAGATTTGGATCTCTAGAGTCCCCAGTGCACCATCTAGGGTTTGTGGTCAGTGACTGGATGCATGTAGGAGTCACTCAATTTGAATGCTGAAGTTTGAATTATATAAACAGAGTTTGGAAAAAAAAAGCACTGTCAAGAAGCAAACTTGGAGATTCAGCTGAGATTTCCAAGCAGAATATCAAGTGTAACCTCATTCTTTAAATAGTGGCATGATTCTTCATAGGAAAACTGTGAGGAAAGACACACTAAAGGAAGAACTCCTAAACAGAAAGAAGCCGCCAGTGGTGATCTAAGAAATTACCAGCACATTCCCTGCTCGTTCACTCTCTGGCTGGGAACTGCAAGGGTTACCTTCACCCCTACTTTAGCTGCCTGCCTGCTGATCTAGGACATGGCCCAGGTTTCCCACAGGAGGAGAGGAACAGTGAGAGGGAGGGACTTGTGCCCTGTAGGGACCCAGGTGACCACTGCTCTCACAGAAATCTCCAGAGAGTAAGCAAGAGATGCTGGCTCACATGATGCATGGGGGGAAGGCCAGAATCACTATGACCTCAGGGTCTGCTGCCCAGCTGCTGCTTCTGTACAAACCCCCAAACTCCTCAGGGCTGGGGTGTGGGTGCCTGCATCTGCTGATGGGCTTTCACCTGCTGTGCTCCCCTGGACTGGATCACCTGCTGCTCACAGTTGTGTAAGGTCCCAGCAGCTTCTCCTCCTTGGCCTTCCCATGGCCAACCTCTGAACTAACCCATCAGCACCCTGTGTATAGACACTCAGTCTCAGCATGGAGCAGAGATTGCCAAGAGTGGAAATCAGTTGGCATGCACAGCCCCTCTTCTTTCAGGCCACTGGGGAAGATAAGAGAGACTTCAGCCAAGCAGCCCTGGTCTGGGGCTCCAAGGGGATGATTGCACTATGGCCTGGACTCCCTCCTCCTGTGCTCCTCTTGCATTGACAGATAGGGACAGGCCTCAGAGACAGGGACAGCCTTAGCCTGTGTCAGTCCCTCTGCCTCAAACCACCAAGCAGTTTACCCCTGGCCTCTGGCCCATCACTCTTGAGTGTCTGTCTGCAGGTCCCTCCCCAGTCTCTGCTGGCCCATCATACCTGAGTGTCTGTCTGCAAGTGCCCCCCCCAAAAAAAAACAAAAGCCTGTGCTAGCCCATCACCCCTGAGGTCTGCAGGTCCCTCCCCAG